CAAAAATCTAGAACTTTTGCATAGTACTACCAAAGTATTGGTCTGCTTTAACTATGACAGATTTATTTCCTTACTAAGACTACTTTATGTGTTGAGAAGATTGTAAGAGATTTCTTTAACCGATTAGGCCGCCAATTGTTTAGCATCTTACTAATATTATAAACTCGAAAGTTTGGGAGTATGGATGGATGTTACTCTTTCACACTAAACCTACTGAACGGATTTTGATGAAGCTTTACAGTAATATAGCTTATATATCAGAATAACATATCACATAATATAAAATAAAGTCGCTGTCGCTGTCTGCCCGTCCCTGTGTATGCTTAAATTTTTAAAACTATGCAACAGATTTTGAAGTGATTTTAATTAAACAGATAGAGTGATTCTAGAGGAAGGTTTATATATAGAATACAGGTAGTACGAGTAGCTAGTTATTATTATATATCTAATAATTAACTTGACATTCGATTTGTTCGTTGTTAGGTTGTGTTTGCGTATACAATATTGTAGTCATGTTTCATATTAATTTAAAATAGCACTAGCTTTTTTTGTCTATCTTTCTTAATTGGATCTTTATTCTACAGCTTTACATAGGGTAAAATGAATCGCTGTCTGTTCACTTAGATCTTTTAAACTATCCAATAGAATTGACTCTATCTATTTCTAAAAATTAATTGTAGCTTTTAGCAAAAAATTAGTGATTCAAAGGAAGGTTTATATGTATAATATAAGTATACCCATGCTGATGAGATACTGCAGCGGGTAGCTAGGGCAGAATAAAGAAGTGCTTTCGAAATTGGTAATTTTACTTAAAAAACTATTATTTATATTCTGTTCTAAAGTTGTCTATATTGCATTTAGCATATAGTCTTTAAACATTTGATTTTTTATTTAACACAATTTAATATTCTTATACAATTTAATTTCAGCCACGCTGGAATCAACCAAGTCGATCGTGTGGCAGGGAGAGAAAATCCAAGCAGAATTGCAGTCTTGTGACGGGGACGACCGTTTAAGTGTTAATTTCAGTCCACATTAACACTCACCTTCAGTACTTATGTTGCTTCCCTGCCTAATATTTTTTTTATCTAATATATCACAATATCCCTGGACAATTAACATAGCGCCATCTAGTCCCAAGCAATGCTTCTGTTATGGGTACTGGACAACTGATATAAATAATAGATACATATTTTTTGTAAATACATACCTAATATACATAGAAAACATCGGGACTGCTACAGACAATCATACTCATAAAGACAAATGTTTGAACCGTGAGAGGAATCGAACCAGCGATCATCGGAAGTAAAGTGGTATGCTAAACCGTCAGACCAGGAGGTCGTCAAATTTGTGTAAAACGTTAACATAATCTATATATTTGTTAATGTTTTACACATAGACTATGTTTTGTAAAACAACATATGTATATGTAAATGATATACATTGACAACTTTGTACGAGACTTAAAAACACTTTTGAATTTTGAATGCGTAACGTTAATTTATTTTATGAATAAAAATAGTATTTGAGAAATGTGAACATATCATCATGTAGTTTTTATTTACCTCCACAATTTAATTATAATTATTAAAAATGAATAAGAAATTTTATATTTATCCCTTACAATAAAAAACACATTTATTCCTTTTTTCATTATTAGTTCATATATATGACAGTATGTTCTTAATTTGTATCTAAAAACTCTATAAAAATTAATACGTGCCGACAGACAGAACGAAATTCATTATTATGTAGTATTATTTTATGAGTTGTTCATACGTCGTTTCAAATGCTGGTGTAATATAAGAGATGGACGCAAATGACAGCTGCGTCCACCTAATGCTGTAATTCAGGCGTGACTCAGTGGCGCAAGTGTTGCGAATCATTTCGATAGGTTATAAACACCAAACTGTATATAAAACTAATGCTTTATAAAAAAAAATACTACGCTACATTAGCATACCAGAAACTAAAATACCGATTATCTGGATGAATCCGGAGAAGGACCGCCTTCTCCGTGCGTTTTTCCAGAGCATAATTACTTTATGAAATTAGATGATTCCACACTGGAAGGTTTCTGAATCGTTAAGGTTAAAAGAGCTTATTCCTTCATATAAGCTAGGCAACGCACTTCCAATTCCCCTGGTGTTGCGGCTGCTCATGAGCGACGGTAATCACTTACTATCAGGTGAGCTGCAAGTAAGTTTGTTCCCTACGCTATAAAAATACTTCTTAGAATGGGGTTTTCTTATACCATAGGGGACAAAGTCTCAGACTTTGGCAAAGAAGCCTACGGTTTATCTAAAGGTAAACGGTCACCGTAGGATACGGATGTATGAAACATAAGAGATATATTACATACACATTAACAGACCCTAAAAACTTAAAAATTGTTTTTTAAAAAAAAAACTATACTTTAGTATTTGGAGAAATTTGAGCAGCCATTTTTGTTTTGTGACTTCTGAGTGTTAGCAGAAGTTTTGTGTAAACAAAAAAGCATATAATTGATAGTGACATTTCGTCATGTAATGCCCTTAGTTATTTGATAGATGACACATGAAAGACATTATGCCTCAATCCGTGTAATTTCATTACCAAATCTCACCGTCCAACCGAAACACAGCTTACAAAGAAGCTGCTTAAAATAGATTGATTATTTAGTGGATTTGTTTTATTTTAATTCCGCTAACATTAGCACGTGTGTGCGGAATTAAATTAAATAATACAAATACATTAAGTAATGAAATGGACTTCCGCAACATAACACAAAATTCGTCAAAATATATGAAATAATTGAGACATAACATAGTCACGGCCACGCAGGTGCTTTTGTACAAAATTTATCACTATTTCTAGTAATATCTTCTATATATATAAAAAGTCTCGCTAAAAGTCAAGAATAGCTGAACCGATTTGGAGAATTAGCCAAATCGGTTCTCAATTATTCGTGAAAGTCCAGGGAAGTTTTAGACAGTGTAAAAAATGAAGAAATTGCATGTTAAATATGTAGTAAATATAGCAATTTTAATTTCCCATACAAACTGCTGATACCTGTCAAACAGGGTGCGTTCAGATATTTATTGCGTAACTAAACTTAAAAATTAATTTCCCATACAAACTGCTGATACCTGTCAAACAGGGTGCGTTCAGAAATTTATTGCGTAACTAAACTTAAAAATTAATTTCCCATACAAACTGCTGATACCTGTCAAACAGGGTGCGTTCAGAAATTTATTGCGTAACTAAACTTAAAAAAATTTCCCATACAAACTGCTGATACCTGTCAAACAGGGTGCGTTCAGAAATTTATTGCGTAACTAAACTTAAAAATTAATTTCCCATACAAACTGTTTCAGAAATTTATTGTTTATAAATATAAAACAGGGTGTGTGTTGCGTAACTAAACTTAAAAATTAATTTCCCATACAAACTGCTGATACCTGTCAAACAGGGTGCGTTCAGAAATTTATTGCGTAACTAAACTTAAAAATTAATTTCCCATACAAACTGCTGATACCTGTCAAACAGGGTTGCGTGCGTTCAGAAATTTATTGCGTAACTAAACTTAAAAAATCTTTGGAGTTCTCGGAGTCAGCAAGTTGTTTATAAATATAAAATTGTGTGTTGTGACATTTCGATGTTTCAACTTTGTTGCAGTAAGAAACAAAGTGTAACACTCTGTTCCTTACTCATTAATATATAACTAGTCATTATACATTTCATTACCTAACTATTTATGGATAACCTGCAAAAAAAAACTTCATATAATTTTGTGAATTTTATTCTAAAAACTATAATATCGCTCAGTAAATATAATCTTAAAAATACTGTATATAAGTAATGTTTGTGATGTATTAAATTATTTTAACATTGTTTCAGTATATTGATTTTGAATACATAATATAATGTACTATGTACATAACATAATATAGTGTACTAATGTATAATGTAGTTAATATAGTTCAACAAAACTAAATCAATAATTGTCATTGAGCTATTCTATAAAAGTATTAATATCATTACTAATTTCGGCATCTAAACATAAAAATAAAGTACAAAGAATTTACTTAACTTCATTAAAAGCCTTTTTTAGAAATCATATGTGTGTAACACTCATGTTTACTAAATAATATTACAATAATGACAATGAATTTCTAAATGATACAGCGACTAAATGGCAGCGAAATAATTATCACAATAGTTAAAACGTTGATCACATATAAGTATGTACGACAAGGACTCATGGCTTCAGCGTTGAAGCGAGTTATATACAACGTGCATGATCGCGTGGTGCTCCATCTTCTTGTAACAGTTCCTCTTCATCGCTATCAATAATAGTACATTTTGTACGTTGGCACACTAAACACATAGTCGAGAGACAGACCCCTCGGCTGGAAGAAATGGTTCTCGTAACAATATACGCGTCCTCTGTACCTGCATCAATAATTCTCTCTCATTACATCATCGGGTGATGGTGATGTTTGGTTAATTTATGCTCAGTTAGACGGCGATGAGGTGTGAAATGTTAAAAAACAATAATGAAGATTTATAGACAAAACTGTAGCGTTACGCAAGCGGTGCAACGAACCCGCGCTAAAATTACACACAATCACCCATGTGGCCAGTCCAGCGCATCGTGAGATATTAAAATTACAGCTAAAACGCATTCTTGACATTTCCCTTGTCTAACCCAGTTTCCACAACGAAAATAATCTGACACTCTTAATCAAATGTTTTGTTTTTCTCACTAGAAAACTGTATCGTTTTGTTAGATGTTAATGTTTATACGATACAAGAGTTAAGCGTATTAGTACAAAGTTCGGCCGGTTTTATGATGACTTATAGACGATAGCGAAACCGGGTTTAGAGCCGAAGTAATGACTCCTGTTTCACAAGGCGCGCATGTTCGTTTCGTTATTTATATGTCGAGAACTAAATCAATCACGGTTGTGCAAAGCTCATGCCAATAATAAATTGGAAGTTTGTAAATTACTTACTTGGCTCCGAGCGCGGCTTTTGTATCGAGAACCTCGACAATGTCACCTGCTTTTAGGGACACTTCATCATCAGCAGCGGCAGTGTAGTCTGTCGTTGCAACTAACACGTCCTCTACCTGTAACAAGAAAAAACAATTAAACTTTCAGTTCAATGAAGGTGTAGAACTTTAGTTAGAATCTAGCTTTTTTCTAGTGTAAAATTATTAAGAAATTACCTTCGGAGGACTTCTACTACAACTCGACCTTGATCTAGACAAAGATCGTGATGAATATCGTTTATAACTTGGTGTAGTTTCCAAGCTACTCATTCTACTTCTAGTATTCTCTCTATCCAGTAACACTCCATTATATTTACGATCCGTCCTCCATCCACCAAGTCTAGTTATTCTCTGATTATTACTGATATTACAATATCCTGTAAATGATTGTAGATCTTCATCTTTGTCATCCACAACAGGACAACTATACATTGAAAATCTATGGGCTGTTGGTTTGCTGAGGTTCAACGCTGAAAATACGTGCAGTGGTTCAAAATGTCGGATTCCATTTTCATCGAGAACTGTATACGCAATTTGACCAGTTAATACAGCACGACTGGCTTCGCGAGGCACAACAGCTTGCAATCCTCTTTTCATTATTAATAAAGCACCAGGATGTTTCCTGCGTTGAAATAAAAATTCTTCCATAGCAAGACTGTTGTCTGGATCTAGTAAACTTAATGGAACGTCATCAGATGTCATCAGCGGAGGTTCCTCCGGTACTATCATTAGAACTGCGCTTTCACGAACTAAATCTCTAAGTTTAGGATCCGTTCGAGCCAATTCTGGGTCTGTTACTAATTTATGAAGCGCAGAATGTAAACTTGGTGTTTTTTCTGCAAGTTTACGCATGACTGTTAACCTTTTTAAAATACTAAGACTTGTATCGTCCGTTGCGATTTTAGATAAACTTTCTTCATTATTGATGACCGCTAATAAATTACTAGCCACGTCTCTCATTCCAAGAAGTTTTGCAAGTCCTACTGATTGTACGATCAATTCTTTTAAGTTTTCTTTATTATTTTCGTTAAGTATAACTTCCAATTCTTTGGAGCTAGATTCTTGAACTGCAGACACAATTGCCTTCTGTAAGGTTTCCCTTGCTTCATTATCAGTTTTAATAAAAGATATTGAATCTGAGATGTGACCCAATACATGGCGAAGAAGATTTGTGTCAGTGTTAGCAATATTTTTGAATGCTGGTCCTAATACTTCATTTTCACTAGCTAAAAAGTCGCTGAATTTTTCAATAATATCTTCTTCGGTAAAGGAATGTTTATGTAGTGTGCTATTGACAGCAATTTTGATTAATTCAACTTTAGGTTGAGTTGTATTTTCAAGAATCTCCTCACGAAGAATTTCTTTGTCTTCCTCGCATTGTAAAATCTTGTACATTGCTGTTACAAAATCTTTATCTATAGCTTTACCCAAAATAGTATCAATAGATTTTAATATTAATTGATATTTTTCTTTACTATTATTATTATTAACTTCTTCAAATTGTTCAGCCGTAACTAAAGCAGCTAATACTGCAGCAGCTATTGAATTTTTGACATGCTCTTCATGGGCTGTTTGTCCGTTTCCTTCTGTATATCCTGTTTCAATTTCCATACGCTTTTTTGTGGTTTTATTTTTTTTCGCTTCACTTGCATTTTCATTTGTTTTACCATTTTCATACATTTCTGACTTCAAATGTGCACTCATTTCAATAATAGATGTGATAACGTCCATTAATTGATTCGCAACATCATCTTTTAAGCCGAAATCTGTAACAAATGCTTTGAGTGCCTCTTTATTTCTAGTTTCATTTAAAACTACGTTAATCGTAGGTAGTTCTGCTGGTACTTGTCTACCAATAGACATACCGGCCTCAGAAAGCTGTCTGAGCATATTTGTATCGATAGTTAATTCTCCTTTAGTAGATGTTGTATCATTTGGGTTTGTTTTTACTTTTAAAAGTTTTAGTTCTTCAGGTGTAACAACGAAACTTTGAACTGAAAACTCTAATCCCTCTTCGCCTTCTACAAGATCAGGAGCTACAAATTTTAATCCTTCCGGTGTTTGGACTATCTGACCAGGAACAAAAGTCACACCATGATCGTCGGTCTCTATAACTCTACCAGGGACGAATCTAGGACCTTCTTCCGTGTCAACTACTTGTCCAGGTACAAATCTCGAGCCTTCCTCTTCTGTAGATATAACTTGACCAGGTATAAAAGTAGGTCCAGCTTTTGTTTCTATTATTTGACCCGGAACAAAACGAGGACCATCAATTGTATGTATAGTTTGACCTGGGACAAACTTTGGTCCATTTCTCGTGTTTACAACTTGACCAGGTACAAATTTAGGTCCATCAACAGTATCAACAACTTGGCCTGGAACAAATTGTTCTCCGTTTTCTGTAAATACTATTTGTCCTGGAACAAATATACCTTCTACCATCATTCCAGGAACAAATCTTGACTCATTTGCTTCATTTTTAACAAGTCTTCCAGGTACTACTTTACCTTCTATTTTAGGTATTCTGGGGCCAGGATAAAACTCAATACCTTTTGTAGTTTGGACCATATGACCAAATACATATAAGGATTCTTCAGATAATGAGCATGTTTTGATATCTATTGGCAATCCCATATGCGTGCCTTCTGAGAAAGTTATATCTTCTACTGTTTTAGCAACGGAAAATTCTACATGTCCGTTAGCTTGAACGGTAGTTTTTCCAGGCATAAACTTTTCTCCATATTCAGTACGTACTATTTGTCCTTCTATGAATTTTGGTCCATCAATAGTCTCTACTGTGGTCCCGGGAACAAACTCTAATTTATTATTGCTATTAGCTTTTGTTATACCAGGTATGAAGCATGTCTCCCCATTAATTGCAACTGTTTGCCCTGGCACAAACTTAAGGCCATTGGGTGTAGCTAATGTAGCACCAGGTACAAAGTGTAACTCGTCATCTTCATTGATTACTTGGCCTGGCACAAATTGCCATTCATTATTTATTTTTGCATTTTGCCCTGGTGTGAAAAGAACGTCGTTGCTTTTTGTTATTGTCTGACCTGGAATAAACTGTACGCCCTCTGGTGTTAATATTGTTTGACCAGGTACAAAAGTTTCTTCAGAGCCATTGTTTATTATTTTACCAGGAATAAACTTCATACCTTCTTCAGAGATAACTGTTTGACCTTCAGTGAAACGATATGAATCATCTTTGTTTTTAACTGTTTGTCCACAAATAAACTCTTCGCCATTCGATGTCTGCAAAACTTGTCCGGCTAGGAAAAATGGTTCATTTGTATTTTCATTTGTTACAATATGGCCCGGTATAAGCCCTGGACCCGCCGGAGTATTCACAGTGAACCCTGGTACGAAGACAGGTCCTATAGGAGTTTCTACTGTTTGTCCTGGTACAAAAATAGGACCTTGTGGAGTATTGATATGTTGACCAGGTATGAATGTTTTCGCTTTGTTTATATCCAAAGTTAAACCTGGAACTTTAGATATTTTTTCTCTTTTACCTTTTTTAATATTTTTTACAATATCTGGCAAGTTTTCTACTGTGGGCAACATTCCAAGTTTATTATTTTCATTCAACTTTTCAAAAACTTGTGATGTTTCAATTATACGTTCATTTGACAATTCTTTAACAGCTTTTAAAACTGTTTCTGTAGGCCGTGCTTTTATCGGTTTTAAAGGATTGACACAAGGCACATTTTCAAACGATACCGAAATATCGCTAATATTGTGGTCTACTTCATAAATTTCTGAATCACAGTGATGAGGTTTTATTTTCAGCGGCGTAGGTAATACTGATGACTTAGGGACAATATTTTTTTTATCAATATAGTTTTCTTTTTCAAAATCTTCCCAATCCCATGACTCAATAAGCGGATGAATATTATCTTTCCAGTCATCATTACACATAATAATACTAGATTTAGAGCGCATATGATTTAAGTCAAAATTATTCGAATGGAAGCTCTTCATATCATTTTTCTCATGTCTGCACTCTTCTAATTTAGCCTTTTTTGCTACACGTACTTGACGCACTTTTTCTTCTTCCAATTCCTGCACTTCTGCTAATTTTTCTTTATTTTCAAATATTTTTTTCATTGAAGAAAGACCAGCGGCACGTTTTCTTTTCTTCTTTTTTTCTTCTAATTCTTCTACTTCTCTCTGTTTCAACACTTCAGCATTAGGTCCTTCGCCTTCATATATTTCCACATCTTCGGTAAAGTCCTTGAAATCCATTGACACACTACGACCTTGTTTTGTTTTGATCAGCACTGTATCCGAATCTTTCGCAAGCATGACGTCTCGAACATCACCATCACGCACTGCCGCTTCCATACGAGCGGAGAAAACTAAACTGCACCTTCTTTCTTGTACCGTATACACATATCGCTTGTCGTCAGTAACTTGTTTCGTCAGCAACATTTCCATTAAAACCTTTTGTGCCTCCGTGGAACCATCCAAGACTGGGAATATATATCTGTAGTCAGGTAGCATTTCATGTTTCCTATTTCCATAATTTATTTCAGGTGCATAATGATGGGGTCCGAGTTCACCAGATACATTAGTAATTTTGCATTTCGTTCTCCCCGACCTGGCGGTGAGCAGTACTGGAATGTAGTGATGCGACGGTAATCCATATGACTTGCCAGTGATCCTGCAGCAACGCTTTGCATCAGCTGGCGAGATAGGAGCGAGGAGCGGGAAATAATTGGGCTTTGGCAGCCCTCTGCTGCGGCCTGTAATTCTGCAGAACGACATAGTTGATTGTATTTATTAAGCCCGCATATTTGTTTACTTCACTCTTGAGTTAAGTTTATTTGTTTGGAGATCGCGATCTATACGGGCAGTGGAAGCGCGTACGCGTTTGGGCGCGTGTGTTTAGTGCGGTGCGTTCAGAACGACTGTAGAGCTTTCTGTCGGCTTCTCGGTCAAGCTTCGGCGCCCGCGCATCGATTCGCACCTTCACAAAGGCAGACGGTGTGCCTGCTGTTCTTGTTCCGGTTACAAGTTATTTATAAACAAAAGAAAGATGAATTTATTCGTAAAGCTAAAATATATGACACAGTTTCATGGCAAAAACAAGGGGACGCTGTCGGTTCTGTGATTGCAGTGGAAAGCGAATTATTTTTGTCAGGTCGCTCGACTCGTTCCCAAAAAGTTCCTTCCTACGTGTGTTAATACGTAACCAACAAACGTAGCAAACAGTTATGCCGTTGAAACATTGTAGGAATTGGCAAAACGTCATAAATCAGTTTGTATACATTTCCATAAATACATTTCAATTTTGAAGTTTCTCAATTCAGTGATGTGTTAGAAACGAATATACTAACATACCTACTGAATAATATAGTTTATTTGAGCCCGAATAACAATTACCGTAATTGAAAACACAAATGATATATGATCATTACGAAAACTTACCACTACCTTACCGTTAAAAATAAACATTAAAATCATATTAGAATTGACAAGAATCTCACAAAATTATCTAACAGTCCTCCTATTTTATATAGAGTGATAAAATATATGATATTGATATATAAATATTGTATAATTTATATCGAAATACTCACACTTCAAAAAGTTATTTAATTGAGGGGTGATTTAAAGGAAAGAATTCAATTTGTTGAAATGAAATGTAAATCATTATAAAAATCGACTTTAAATTCAAATAGTAAAATTATTTATTTATGTATTTAGCACGATATAATTTAATTTTGACGAAAGTCTAAGTACATAATACGTTACCAAAAACACATCTAGTTGCGAGCCTTTTAACAGGCAGCCAAAATAAATCCTAATTGTCAGATGAACCATAAAAATAGATTACAAAACGATCTCAATTTTAACGATATAAAATTAAATGTAAAAGTTACAATATTCAAACACAGCAACTATAATATTTGTATTATTGTTTTCATCACATCCCGGCCCGGTCTGCCTGTCAAACCGTCTACTACAGTTAACTCATAACCTCGTGAACCAACGGAGTTTATTTATAAAAAAATAAATTTAAATGGTGAACCTTCACGCTCGGTGCAATCAGAGGGAACTCTCTATTTCGGTGAGTGAAATTGTTTGGAAAAACAAGGCCATCCGCGATCAGAATCCGCTATTTTAAATGCATTTATTTATTTACATAAGATATTAAAATACGCAAGCACCTAGGTTATTTCCATGGTGGAACAGATTGAGGTCACAGTCCGTTTATTTATGATATCGTAGCTGTAATTGGGTGGATCGATTTAATAATCGATGTTAGGGATTTCAGAATTAGTAACATATGATGAACATGGTAAAAATAGAAATTGAAATAAACTTACTATCAGCAATTTTGAATAGTCATATTTTTTATTCTACCTCTCGTTCAGAACGCAGACTCATCACAACAAGAATGATATGGAAACTTGCGTGGTGCTCTTTTAAATAAATTAAGTAAATATATGTACATTAACAAGGATTAGGCAAGTAACAATTATCATGAAACCATTATACACTCAATCTTATTAAATATCAATTTCATGTCAAACTAATAATGAAATGAAATGAAATGTATTTATTTGCTTGAAATATAATAATAATAATAATCTCAGGATAATTCACACAGCGCCATCTAGACCCAAGTTAAGCTAGTACTGATATATATACATATACATAGATATTTTTTTGTAAATACATACATAATATACATATAAAATACCCAGACCGATACAAACAATCATATTAATGAATACAAATGTTTGTGCCGTGCAAATATGGTATAAATATTAAAAGAATGTCGAATAATAAAATTGTCCTATTGTTTTGGCAACATTTTAGTAATATACAAATTATACAATAGAATTAATGAATTAACATTTACAAATTATATTATATGTCAAACTAGCTGTCACGGCAAACGATGTTTTGCCTTAAAATAAAAAAAAAAAAAATTAGACCACCATTTAGATGAAAAATAGATGTTGGCGTCAGACCTACTCAATACGCTCACAAAATTTCATGAGAATCGGGCAAACCGTTTCGGAAGAGTATGGGAACGAAAACTGTGACATGAGAATTTTATATATAAGATAGTATAGTAGATACGTAACAATTATTTTCGTTAGGTGTCAATCAATATTATGCAAATATATCAAACAATACTATTAATTTTATTATCTAATAATCTATACATATAAATAAAATTGGAGTGTCTGTTTGTAATATTGAAATAACCGTTTTTTACTACATGCATATGAATAAATACGGTATACCATAATAACATTTTTTACAATTTTTGTCTGTCTGTCGGTCTGTGTGTTCCGGCTAATCTCTGAAATGGCTGGACCAATTTTCGGACGAAGTCGCGGGAACAGCTAGTTCTAAATAAATATAACTCTTAGCTTTTAGCGAAAAATTCATTTATATAATATATAATAGTGCTTACTATAATCATACTGACTAATTCGAATTCATATTGGTTACTTGATTAAATTGATGATGAATTGTTTTGTATTGAAACTCATTAACCAGAATAGAGCGATTTTTTTAATGTATGTGGAATGACAAATAACATGAGGGCTGACGTGATGGGAAGCGCCTAACATCCATATATATATGAACAACACTACTGATATCACGTTATCACGTGACACCCGTGATAACACTTATATATTGTCATTCTGAAAGACAACATTTCATGCCTTTGATCCTTTAATTTCATTGCCTAATCTGCATATAACATAATATACCTATAATAGTATTTTATCAAAGACAATGTATCTAATACAGGGAGATAAAGGATTGTCAGTAATGTGGACTAATAACCGTATTGCTACCAATGCACCATGTCAGAATACCCCCCTGGTTCTCCCTGGAAGCCATCGTGGTAAATTGCCATTTACCAAGATGCGGTAACTGACCTGACTTCATGCTCATTTTATCATGCACTACTGGTAGCCCGTCAGCGTAAACCGGTCGCATAGGCGGGTGCATGATTCCATTATCATCCATAAAGAAATATAATATTACTTTGTATATTGCTTTCTTTGCCTTCAGCGTATAATTCTTCCGCCAAGCTAGCTTTGCAAGATGTCTTGCCATAACAACTTAATCAGGAACCATCATCTGCTTCTTCCTTATCCCATTTATTTGGGGTCGGCGTAATATGTTTTTCGCTTCCAATCATCCCTGTTCGCGTTATTTACTTCCTTTCTTACCATGTCATCTTTCACACAGTCCATCCATCTCTTTTTTGGCCTTCCTCTGCCCTTATAACCATCCACATTCATTTGTAAGATCTTTCTTAAAATATTATCCTCGTTCCTACGCATTACATGTCCATACCATGATAGACGATTACTCTTCAACCTCTCTGACACCGGTGCCACTTAATCAGGAACCACGGTCATTAAATTAATTATCATTAAAAAATATTAAAAAATATTTCGTGATATAGTTTATAAATGCACGCAACTATTATTTGATACCAAATATGACGATGGCTAACTAATTCCATCCTTATCTAAACATCTTCCACTGTTGACCGGTCAGTTTATTACTGTTGGCGCAGGCAACAATGCAATTCCATCAGTATCCATTAAAGCAATCTAAAATTAAAAAATGGAGTCAACAGTAAAAACATATTAGAAAATTCTAGACAAAGAACTAGTACAGGAAACATTAGATTTAAATGCGAAAAGAAACAATAACAGGAAATAAGGTTTTTAGTCGCCATAATATATTTTCCTGTTGCAATATTTCTAACGACACCAATCACTTTCGTTCTCTTCGGCCTTGACTTTACTTACGTAATCCAATAAATAGATCTTTGATTAAATAAGTTTCCGCTCATCAATATATCCAATTATATGTACACACAAACAATCCGATACTTCAAAGAATTATATTGCGCAAACCACTTTAAATATAGGAATTGAAAACAGCTTGAACTTACAACCGGTTACATTGGAGTTTTTTGCTGCTTTCAGTAAACAGTAGCAAATAGATCTAATATTTATTCTAAATCATTTTGAATTATAACCTAAGGTAGAACTAATCCAGACTGCCGGGTTTGGGCCAGTACTCCAAATTTCGAGGTATACTTATTATTTTTACGACGACGGCCTCGATGGACTAGTAGTTTAGTACACCGTTTAAATTCCGATTGTAGCGGTTTCGATACTTAATACGGTAAAAACATTTGTATTTATGAATTGTATTGGTTTCAATAATTTTCTATGTACTAACAACAAAATGTATTCAAGTATTTGTATCAGTTGTTTATACTCATAATTCGAGTTCCGCTCAGCGTAGGGATTAGAAGACGCTGTGGGAAATGCCCAGTTTATTATTATTATTTATTCCTTATATAATATATCTCTAAAATAAGTTTAATTACTTCGGACATAACTGTTCAGTTACCAACTCGACTAACCTAGGCAGAATAGAATAGAAATCGTTTATTCAAATAAATTTAATTTAAGCACTTTTTAATAGTCATAATAATTTTTTTTTCATCTACCGCTCATTCAGAAAGCTGTCACAAGAAGAATGAGTAAGTAACTTGTGTGTTGCTCTTTTAAATAATCCTAGTTAAGTTCACATTTACAAGTCGAAACGTGTGAATACAGACTACCAATCAACATTCATTTATTTTTTCATCAGACTTTATCAGATTTTCAAAAACCTCGTCTGTATTATACGGCTCATTTGATGATAAACTGTTACCGTAGCTTATGGACGCTTGAAACACAAGGTGCGAAAAGTGCGCGTTGTAGAGCATAAAGGCTGTTATAGCAGGCGGATACAAAATTCAATTATCATCCATAAAAAAAGCTATTTCTGGCCGCAGAAAACTGGGAAACGAAAATAGTGGAAAGCATTGAGGAAAGCCTATATCCAGATTC